TGACTGTTCTGAGGTGTTCTCTTTTTAGCATACTCTCCTTCATCCCCTTCTTCCCTGCTATACACACACATACACATTCACACATACACGCACTCTTTCTTTCTCTCTCACATGCACATTCTCATACGCAAATACAAGCATGCTCATACACATTTGCACACACACAGACACGTGCATGCACACACTCACACTCATATGAACCAACATGCACATACACACTCTCCTTCATCTCCTTCCTCCCTGCTACACACACATACTCTAACACTCATATGCACATTTGCACACACACATATGTACAACATGCAATGTGTCAGAAGGCCATGTAGAAAATGATTGTTACTCTCCAAAAGGAAGAACACCCACACTTTTGCAATGGAAAAAAACAGCTCTGTTTTTGTAAAAAAATGAATTTTCTATTAGGCCTAGAAAGAAACTTAAAAAGTGTTTCTTCTTTTATCTAATCGGAACTTGTGTATGTGCACACACCCGTGTGACAGAAAGAGCCAGGGAGAGAGGGAGGGAGAGGAGGCGAAGGCAAGAAGAGAGAGAGTGATTAAAAAGCAAGTGCACTGTGTCAAGCTCGTCTGGACTAAGCGAGAAGCAGGCGGTTGTGGTGATGAGATAGGAGCTCGGAATGCTTCATGGTACCAAGACTGTCATAAGTGGCTTTTGGGGTCTGAAAAAGTGACAGCGAAATTCAGCGTTCCTTTGACAACCACTCAGAAAATAGAATGTGAGGAAGCAGGAGGAAGGGAAGGTGTGGGGCCAGCCATGAGAATGCACCCCGCTGCTCCATGGATGCCTAGAAATGCTGGTCACTTATAGGGCACAGGTGAGGGGAAGTCTAAACTGGTGGCAGTAGTGCTGCCAAGCCATGTAGTCTGCTCTCTCAAGGGTGAATGTTCTTGCATAAGTAGTGGGGAAGATTATTCCCTAGTTTATATAGGCCCCATTTGTCCTAGACACAGATTTTAATGTTCTCAGGTGATTGCTTGCTTGATTGTCTGTGTAAAAGATCAGCAATCCTTTTTTTTTTTTCTGGAAAGGTCTAGGCAGTAAATATTTTAGGCTTGGCAGCCCATATGGTCTCTGTCACAGCTACTCACCTCTGTGGTTGTGGTGTGAAAGCAGCCATAGAAATGGGTAATAAAGGAGTGGGGCTGAGTTCCAAAGTACTTTTATGAGAACTGAAAATTGCATTTTATATAATTGTTGACATGTCCCAAAATATTGTTACTTTTTTGAATTCTTTCACATTCGTGGCTCATGAGCTGTAAGACAAGAGATGACAGGCAGGAATTGGTGGATGGGCCATGGTTGCCCAAACCCTGTGTCCAAATCATGGCATTGTACAAGCAGAAGGGATCTCTGACCCTCTTTTTTCCCTCTTTCCTTCTTTTCAGTTTCTCATTGTGCTGATTTGGAAACCAGAAACCGAAAGCTCTGGGAAGTGAACACTTTCTGACTTAACCTGTTAGAGGCAGTGTTAGGATAAAATTTCAGGTCTCAAGGAGCACTTCTTAGAGCCCAGATCAGACTGAATGTTGCTTTTGTGATTGCAGAAGGCATACCATCCTCTGGTACACTAGCTCCTTAGGGTCACCCTGAATCTGAAACTTAGTTCTTCATAAAGTCTTTTTTTCTATGATTCCTCAGTGCATCATTTGCTAATTTGCGCCAGTTATTCTGTTTAACACAACTGAGATATAGACATAAGCACAGTTCCTACCCTTTAGGAACTCACTTCTTCAGGGCCTGGTTTTGATAATCCAGACAAAGCTACTTAAATGTAGTTTTATCCTTAAAAGCAAAATCGGCTGCACTTACGTAAGTTACAATAATAATTAGAATTTAGGAAAAATCCATTCTTAAAACAAGAAGGCAAAGAGAATAAAAAATAAACATCCAAGTCACCCTCTGACTGTGTGTTGGTTTTAAAACAACAAGACTATTATTTTAAGTGAACACAAGGAAAATTTTGCTACCAAGTGAGTACAATTTCTAACAGGTGATACATCGACTCCTCTGATTCCAGACATTTCCGAAAGTGCCCTTACTACCTACATTACTTCCTTCTGTAAAGCTCTACTGATTAAGACTTTATCTTTTGTGGTTGGATTTTTGCTTTTGGAATTACAACCTGCTTTTCAAGTCACATTTTGTAAATTAGTTGAGGTATCTTGCTGAGTGATAAAGTCTGAGTCAAAAACTTTCTGAAAAGTGCCTCGTGAACTCGTGAGGCATCATGGCAAAGATCCCAATTGTTGGACTGAGGCAGAGAGGTAGAAAGAAGAATACAGACTTTAAGTTCTGACAGATGTAAGTATAGGTCCCACCTCCACCACGTATTAGATGTTAAATGAGCTACTATACCTCTTTGAGCCTCAGCTTTTCTCTCTGTAAAAAGAAGATGTTAAACCTTTCCTTGCACTATTGTTGTAGGGATTAGAGATGATGTAAATAAAAATGTTTCCAGCATGCTCGGTATTCAACGTACCTTGGATAGACTTATTTGGCCAGTTCACTGCAAAGGGTAATATACACGAGTAAGATTTTTTCTTTTCTTCAAAATAGACTTTTTGGGATTAAACTCTAAAAAAGTGTTAAATAAATGAATCAAGCTATTTTTCATTTCTGTTGTGGAAGTATTTGCCTTCTTACGTTTGGTAATGTTAGGATTTTCCACAGAAGAAGTTGACACTTTCCTTCTTAATCATACTGGCAATACCATGTTTCAACACTAGTTACTATTTTCTTTTCGAAAAGTGTCATTTGTCTAGCTTCCCTTGAAAGATCAGCTAAATGTCACATTATCCCTGCTTCTGCTAATCTTTCAAAATGCTCACCACCATAGTCATAACATTTTCTTCATGCTCAAGTTTATTTTAAAAATGTTCTAAAGACAGTGTTGCTGAATTTTTATTTGTTTAATAAAAATTAGGCTTTTAAATATAAAAATATAGATTTATTATAAAGCCTCTAGAAAGCAAAGAAAAATAGATTTGAAAAATACCTTGTTTAATCACATAAAGCTAGGCAGAGTTAAATTACTGTTTCCATTTTGGTACATTTTATTTTAATCTTTTCACTATTTTAATGTCCTTTATATCCATAATGGTGATAACATGATGTATATATGAACATGTATATATTAGATAAATATATAAAATACGTAAATATATCTTTTAAAAATGGTATCTGTAGGCCGGGCGCGGTGGCTCAAGCCTGTAATCCCAGCACTTTGGGAGGCCGAGGCAGGTGGATCACGAGGTCAAGAGATCGAGACCATCCTGGTCAACATGGTGAAACCCTGTCTCTACTAAAAATACAAAAAATTAGCTGGGTATGGTGGCGCGTGCCTGTAATCCCAGCTACTCAGGAGGCTGAGGCAGGAGAATTGCCTGAACCCAGGAGGCGGAGGTTGCGGTGAGCCGAGATCGCGCCATTGCACTCCAGCCTGCGAAACAAGAGCGAAACTCCGTCTCAAAAAATAAATAAATAAATAATAAAAAATAAAAATGGTATCTGTTTATTTATTATATATAAATATATATCTAATGACTATATATCTACATATCTACTTATATATTTATATATCTCCATGATAGAAGTTGGAAAATACTGAAAACTGTAGAGGAGTTCGGAGAAACAGCCTATAATCTCATTATACAGAAATAATTTTCTTCCCTTTTGCTTCTCCACATTTTGGCTTAGATCAAATTTAGAAATGATTTTCTTAATGTTTTTGGTATTGTGTTTTTAGAGTATCAAGATGTTGCTGCATATTCTGATTTTTATGTATAGTTGTGACAGGAACACCCACAAAAATAATTGTTCTAGAAAAGAATTTGTTAACAAATATTTTCTTCCAGGAAGTGGTGTATTAGCGTTTTAAAAGAAACATGTCTGGACGTCAAAGTAGCCATTGGGTTTATATCAACAGCTCAATCTTTTTTAAAATATGCTTTATTTTTAGAGCAGTTTAAAGTTAATAGTGAGGCATAGTGGAAAGCACAGAGAGTTCCTACATTCCCACCTCCTTAAATGCACAGCCTCCTCCACTATCAGCCTTCCTCACTAGAGAGGTACATTTGTTACAATGGATGAACCAACATTTACTTATCACTGTCACCCATAGTTTATAATTGACATTAGGGACCATTCTTGCTGTCGTATATTCAGTGAGTTTTGACAAGGGTGTAATGGCATGTGTCTACCATTATAGTAACACACAGAGTAGTTTCATTGCCCTAAACATCCTCTGTGCTCTGCCCATTTATCCTTCCCCACTTTTCAACCCCCAGCAATCACTGAACCTTTTGACGTCTCTATAGTTTTGCCTTTTCCAGAATGTCATATAGTTGGATTCATATAGTAAGTGGTCATTTGAGGTTGGTTTCTTTCACTTAGTAGTATGTATTTGAGTTTCCTCTATGTCTTTTAATGGCTTCATAGCTCACGTGCTTTTTTTCTGCAACAAAAGCCACATTCAAAGATTATTGCTTTCATTGCTGAATAATATTCCACTGTGTAGATGTACAGGTTTGTTTATCCAGGCACTTACAAGTCTATAGTAACCAGTGTGGAGCCTGGGGAAGCCATAAATGGCCTGGTTGTGGCAAAGGCCTGGAGCCTATGTTGATAGGAGCCATGGAGGTTGGAGGCATTAGATCTTAGAGCCATAGGGGAAGGCCTGGAGCTTGGGTTGACAGGGTCTGTCCCATAGCCTGTGGCTATAGAAACCTGCCTGGTGTTGAGTTCACTGAATTGTGCCTGGCATTGGAGTTGATGTTGAAGTCAGGTGTTACATTTACTCTCCTCTCTGCACATACATAGTATCTCTTTCCATGCTGCACTACCCAGGTTTAGGGGCGGGGTAATGCAGATAATAGAAAACTCTCTTTTATACTCTATTTTATGCAGTTTTTCTTACTTTTCTACTCCACAAACATGCTATAACCTCTCACCTGGATTCCTTGTCTCTTTTGAAGACACTTTGATGCACGGATGGCTGTTCAAATTGATGTTTCTGTGAAGGAATAAGTGCTGAAAAGTTCTGTTTTGCCATTTTGTCCATGGCATTCTTCTCTGTTAACTGAAAAAATATTTTTACTGAATAACATATTGTTAAAAATTGTCAGACCCGTGGTTTAGCTTTGGAAGTTTCTCCTTTAGAGCAAGTTCCTTTCATAGTTCTCTATAGAAAGACTATAGTTGTAAAATGTTGGTAGAGATGATATTTTGTGTGTAGAATTAAGGACTGATTACACATAAATGTTTAGTGGACAGTAAACATTTGTGAGTAATCTGTTCTTACACACAAAAAGAAGGTCTATAGCTTTAGGAAAGGGAAAATTATCAAGGTTATTCAGACAATATAAAATGAGTTGAGAAAATTGAAGGGAGTGTTTATACTTGAATGAGACCTCATGGAGAAAGACAAAATAAGGAAGCCATGGGAGAATATTTGCATTCTCGGAACCACAAAAGTGAGGAAAGCCAAGAGCACAGCTGGAGTTGCACCAGATCAAGTAGACATTCCATCAGAGCCTGAACTGAGAATGCACCATTCCTAGTCACCTTGATAACAGCCCCATTTTCTGTTAATAATACTCTATGGGAAAAATCTTGCAAAAATAGTCAGAAAAGGCAGAGTCACATGCGGTTCAGTGTGTTCCACCTTGGCAGATGGTCTTAGGAGGAGTTTTGGAAGGATCGTGCTGCAGGCAATGGATGAGAAAATGATGAGAAATTTTCCAGCTCTGTATAAAAAGGCAAGCGAAATATATGCTTGTGAATTTTTGGCTGCTTTTTTATGCTGTATTTTCAGATCAATTTTATCCCAGTTAATGTGAATATAAACTCTGATTGTTATGGTTATCTCTCATGGGGTGTCTATTATTTTGTCAGAAATTGTATCAGGAACTTCATATCAATCACTAAATTACACATTTCCAAGCTGCATATGAATTAGGTATTACTATGATCATTTTACAGATGAAGAAGATGAGACTCAGAGCAATACATAAGTTGCCCAAGGTCAGAGAGCAAGTAAGTACCAGAAATAAAAGCCAGATAAATCTAATTCCCATATCCTTGCTCTTTCAATGATGTTTCAGAGTTGATTACAAAAAGAACCGTTCTGTGTGCTCAGGATAATTTACTACCTACTAAATTTAACCATAGGGCAGTCTTATAAACAGGGTAGAGTATGCAGTTAAGATAAAATTTGAGAGGAAAAAATTAAATTAAAATAGTACATAACCAATGATCAGAATAATCTCTCAGTATTTTAGAAATTTATGTAAGAATAAACTAGATACTGATAAAAAATTCACATTCTTTATGCACAAATCTTGTAAGTAGCTACTGTTAAAGAGAGGATATTATTTACCTAGAAGAAAGTGGGGTTGTCAACCACTATATAACCATTCGTGGGGTGAATGTCTTTTTTATTTTAGGCCTCTGGCTGATGGATCCAAGAGGTAGATACGTGATGTCAAAATATTCTCTTTTATAGGTAATTACAATTTACAATGGAAGATACAGAGGCCACAAGGTAGTAGAGTTGAGTTATATTAACAGAAAACCTTGTTAGAGAAAAGAACCACCTCTCACTATTATGTTCAATGGCAAAGATTATTAGAAGGTACAGCAAAATGGACACACATGCGAGTATACCCACATTGATATTGGAAGTAACTTTTTTCTTATATACTATAAATCATATCCCAGAATATACTCATAATGTGTACACTTATCGGGATATTACAATCAATGTACAAAATATGTACCATATGTACATTGACTGATGTACATATGTGTACACAATACAGATGTACAAAAAATGTACATAATCTGTACAATATGTACATTTATATGTACATAATGTGTACACAATAGGTATGTACATAATGTGTACAATATGTAAATATATTGTAATATTACAATGATTTCATATAATCACAACAGCATATATAATCACAATACACATATAATACATAATATCAATATAAATGTACATATTGCACACATATACATTTACATTTATTGTGATATTACGATATGTACACATGTACATCATGCACACGTGCAGATTTGCGGTATATACACGTGTACATAAGTGCACAGTATGTACATATGTACACTACACATATGTTCATATGTAGATATGTACCTTCTGTACAGGAGTACACAGTATGTACAATATGTACACGTATATACTCGGTACACATATAGGTGTATACCCACTTTGGTAACCGGAGAGATTTCTATCTAATATACTAAATATAAAATCCCAGAATGTAGTCGTAGTGTGTACATTTATTGTCGTATTGCGATAAATGTATTAAATAGGCACAATCTGTACATGTACTCTGCTGTACATAGGTGTACACAATGCACATGTACAAAAAATGTACATAATCTGTAAAATATGTACCTATATATTTCTATGTGTACACAATGCATAGGTACATAATGTGTGCAGTATGCACATTCCTTAAAATATCAGTGATAAAATATATATAATCACAGTAAGATATATAATCACACTAATACATATATATCATGTAATATCACCAAAAAGTACATATTGTACACATTAGGTATGTATTAGGTACATATGTATAGTGCACATATTATGAAAATATATATGTATCATGATAACACCATATGTACACGTATACAAATATGTGCCTACTATTTAAACAATGTACACATGCAGAAATAGGTGCAAACTACATACCTATGCACAGCAGGCTATTACTGCAGTTCTGCTCATAGCAGCCTCAATGCCCACCCTGGCTGCTTAAAGACCCCCTGGCTAGGGGGCTGTACCCACAGCCCCCGCCAGAGGGTCCATAACAGCTACCAGGCCCACACTGGCTGCTTAGGGACCCCCTGCCTAGGGCGCTGTGCCCACAGCTGCTGGGGCCTGGCTATTTTGAAAATGTGGTGTAATATGATACTGGCAACCATATCACACAGAAATGATAATGTTATTGTGGTTCTTTACATATTAGGCAATAGTTCTAGTTACACATTTGGCATATTGACAAAAATGTCATCCTCACCCCATTGACATTAGAATTGAAAGCATAGGAGGGTTTCACCCCTTGCAATGTTTAATTCAATATAATTGTTTTCTTGTTTACATTAGTGACCATATCAGAGCACGGTGTACACCTCTTGCAGTATTCAGAGTATTTCTCTATGGGCAGCAACATTTTTCTCTCCTTATCTGGATATTAGAAAGAATATCACAGGACCGGCTTACAGCGCCAGTCACATCGTGAGCAATGTCATCTGTAATCCCCTCGTTATTAAGAACAATGTAACGGGGGTCTTGTGTGCTTTTGGAGATATTTTGAGTAATATCCTTTTAGTTTCTGGATATTAGAAACAACACTACAGTGGTGGTGTACACTTCCTGCGATATTAAGAGTATACTCATCCTTTGTCCCTGGGATATTAGGAACTACATCACAGAAGCGTTGCACTTTGCCTATAATATTGGAACAATCACAGAGTGTACACCTTCTTTCATTGTGAGAGAAATACCTACTTAGGATATGATGGATAATATCACAAAATGGACACACATGGGTATATACCCACTGTGATATTGGAAGTCATTTTTATCTAATATACTAAAAGTCATAACCCAGAAAAAACTCATAATGTGTACACTTATTGAGATATTACACTCAATGTACAGAATATGTAACATATGTACATTGACTGTGATGTACATACATGTACACAATACAGATGTACAATAAATGCACATAAACTGTATCGTTTGTACGAATATATGTACAAAATGTGCACACAATGGGTATGCACATAATGTGTACAATATGTACATTTATTGCAATATCACAATGTTATATAATCACAACTGCATATAAAATCACAATACACATGTAATATGTAATATCAATATAAATGTACATATTGCAAACATTATGTACATTTACATTTATTGTGAGATGATATGTAAACATGTACATCATGTACCCATTATGTACAGATGCACAATATATGCAAGTGTACATATGTGGGTACAGTATGTACATATGTACACTACACATGTGTACATATAATGTAGATATGTACCTTCTGTTCCCGAGTACATTCTATGCACAATATGTACACATATAAACTATGTACACACCTGGGTGTACAACCACTTTGGTAACCGGAGAAATTTCTATCTAATATACAAAATATAATAATTCAGAATGTAGTAATAGTGTGTACATTTATTGGCATATTGCAATAAATGTATAAAATAGGTACAATCTGTACATTTACCCTGCTGTACATATGTGTACACAATGCACATGTACAAAAAATGTACATACTCTGTAAAATATGTACCTACATATTTCTATAATGTGTAAACAATGTATAGGTACATAATGTGTACACTATGCACATTCCTTAAAATATCAGTGACAAAATATATATAATCAAAATAACGCATATAGTCACAGTAATATATATATATCATGTAATATCACAAAAAAGTACATATTGTACACAGTAGGTACGCATTAGGTCTATATGTATTGTGCACATATGTACATAATATTTATCATAACACCATGTGTACCCTTATACAAATATGTGTTCATTATTAAAACTATGTACCTGTGAAGAACAGGCTATTACCACAGCCCCCCTCATAGCAGCCCCAAGGCCCACCCTGGCTGCTTAAAGACCCCCTGGCTAGGGGGCTGTAACGACATTCCCCGCCAGAGGGCCTGCAACAGCTCCCAGGCTGACGCTGGCTGCTTAGGGACCCCCTGGCTAGGGCGCTGTGCCCGGCTATTTTGAAAATGTGGTGTAATATGATGCTGGCGACCATATCATATGGAAATGATGTTATTCTGGGTTTTTATATACTAGGCAATAGTTCTAGTTACACCTCTGCCATATTGACAAAAATGTCATCCTCACACCCCTGGACATTAGAATTGAAATCATAAGGGGGTTTCACCCCTTGCAATGTTAAATTCAATATAATTGTTTTCTTGTTTACATTAGTGACCATATCAGAGCACAGTGTACTCCTCTTGCCATATTCAG